CTCTTCTTCCAATACTCGAAACACTTCTAAAACTCGATCTTTGGGATAGCCTTTAGTTCTTTCAGCGATGCGCTTTTAATGTCATCTATGCTTGCAAAACGACGGGCCTTTAAGGTTCTCTTTATATTTGGGAATAGGAAAAAGTCAGACAGAGGCATGTCTGGCGAATATGGAGGCTGGGGCATCATTACAGTATTGTTTTTGGCCAAAAATTTTGTTCAAAATTTAACAATTTTAGAACGAATTTTGCTGCCACGCGTTTCATACCCAAAACATTCGAAAAAATTTTATGGGATGAGCCAATCGACATACCAACATCATCAGCGACTTCTCTGATGGTTTATAACCATTTATTTAACTTTTTTCATGTTTTTATCGGTTGTTAATGTGCTTGTGCGTTCGGGGCGTTCGTCATCTTCAACGTCTTCACGGCCATATTGGAAACTCTTATACCACTTGTAAACTCTTGTTTTACTTATAGCAGACTCACTATGTTAACATTTCACAGAATTTATTTTAATTTTTAAGCAAAATTGGATACAAATACTTTGATCCATTTCTTTTAACGAACGAAAAATCGCCGAGTTCATAAAACACGTCTAACTTTAGCGGCTGCCACAGACAAAGTAAACAATGAAAACAGCTACAGTTTTTATCATACTTCGGGGGCATGTATACCAACATAATAAAGAAAATTTTATGACAACCGGACCCTCCGAACCCGCGAAATTTAACAATACCTTATATTTAATCCAAAAGTAAATATTGTATCGCCAAGAATTATAAAATTTGTATCAAAAAATATTCATAGTGCACTACTATACATGTATATTTAAAATAATATGAAAGTTTTTCTTGAAATCCTATATTTAAAAGGCATTAAAAGACTAAAGGCTATTAAACTCTTTGTTATTGGTAGTAAAATATAAGTTTTTAAATTTTTGAAAAAAAATGCGGAAATACTCAAAACCACACTATAAAACTTAGTCATTAATATTTTATATGCTCACTTATGAGCAGTTTATTCAAGGGAGTAACTGAGGCGTAAATTGAGTAAATTCGTACACATCGCACAGATGTTTTTAGAATTAAAAATTAATGAAACATAAATAATAAAGATTAACACTTTAGTCGAGCGATGAAATCGCACGAAATGCATACCATAAAAAGCATATTTCCTAATAAACCGTTGACGGGAATTCTAAACTCCTAAAATTTACCGTGTATGTTTTATTAATACGCGGCGTGTACGAGGGAGAATGGCAAGCGGCGTTATGATCTTTATACCAGCCAATTTTAAACAAGAGCAACAGTATGTTACACCATTTTGAATTATTCATGCTCTGTAACGCGGCTTTATCCCTATCTTTATTTCTAATGCATTATTGCACATTTCTTTCCAGTAAACTCGCCATTGAAATAAAACGTTTATTGCTTAAGTGCCCCACACAGTACTGGCTTTAGGAAGTCATTTAGAAATACCTTAAATTAATACTTATTTGGATATAATTTAATGTAAGGTGCAAGGGTAAGCTTATTCTTATTTCAAGAAAAACTATCATATTATTTTAAATACAAACACCCTCAAATAAAATATACACTATGCTTAATTTAAGAATAAGTATTTTTTGATACAACTGTTATAATTCTTGGCGATACAATATTTACTTTTGATTTAAATAGAAGGTATCTTTATGTAAGTTAAGCAATAATTGTTTCAAATATTGTCTATCCTTTTTTTAACTTTTGATCGACTTTAAATAAAGATTAGGGTAAAATAAACATGGTCATTATATCCTAACTCTTAAAGTCGAGCAAAAGTTAAAAAAAAGAATAGACAATATTTGAAATAATTATTGCTTAAAATGATATTGGTCTATAGCATTGTCTTTATTACATAACTTTTTTTCAATGTTTCAAATACCTATCTATATATAATATATACTGCAATGATTTAAGAATAGACCAGTCGTACCAATATTTACTAATCTTAGAATAAATATAATTATATTTATTTAATTTTGCTAAGATTTTTTATTTCAATCGTAGAAAGGATCATAATTTAATTTAATTTAGTAAAAAACATTAATATTTCATAAAATTTTAAAAGCGCATTCGCCATTTTTTAAATGTTTTATCAAAAATGGCGAATGCTCATTTTTATTTTTTAATAATTTAATTTAATTTACCAAAAAACAAAACATTAAAATTTCATAAAATTTTAAAAGCGCATTCGCCATTTTTTAAATGTTTTATCAAAAATGGCGGATGCACATTTTTATTTTTTCATAATTTAATTTAATTTACTAAAAACAAAATAACATTAATATTTCATAAAATTTTACACATTTTCTTAATAAAAAAAGCATGTAAATTACAACAATAAAAAATATATTTAAAAATGTTTCAAATACCTACATATATATATAATATTAGGGTGTTTAAAAAAAAATTAAAATTATTTTTTTTCTAATGGTGTTGAAAAATAATAGTACATTAAAAAACAAAAATTTTGGCGCATATTTGAGCTCTTAATATTAATATTAAGGTTTGCCTCAATTCATTTGTAGTTTTTCCATTTCAATAACACGGGAATTTTAATTTTTTTAATTTTGAATTCTTATAACTTTGAAATGGTTTGTTTTTGCAACACCCAATCGAGAGGTTTTATAGACAATTTCACGCTCTACAAAAAATATCTGAAGGTCAAAGTTCTTCAGATCAACCGTTTCAAAGATATCAGCGATCAAAAATAACACTAATGAAAAATTTCAAATATTTTCAAATAAAATAAAAAAATAGTATCATATGCCAAATTTATATTATTTTTTATGAAAAATCACTTTAATTCTGTTTACGTGAGACTGTAAACTTTTTTTTTATTTATATATATACATATACAGGGTGTTTCATAATATATGCGCAGGACTTCAGGATGTGATAGCTCAACCAAAAAGATGAAAAAAGTCGCTATTAACTTACCCTCTAAAATGCACAATTTTCGAGATACAGGGTGTTAAAATTTTAGAAAAAAAATCGTTTTTTTTCGATTATCTCTGGAACCGTTTATCGTACAAAAAACAGCTTTTTTAAGCATTTTCTACTCATAATAAGCTAATAATTGGTGGAGATTTTGAAGGGGTAGCGGGTGTTTTTCTCCTCAACTTCTACGCCCCTGAAAAAAGTACAGTTTTGAGAGGCCCATTCGAACCGCCAATGTTTTAATAATAAATAATAATAATAAACTTTATTAACGGTAAAAGAAAACCATAAAATACAATAATAAGAATAACAATTGTTATAGGTTTAAGTCACATATTCAGCAGTAATACTACACAAAAAAGGTACTCTTGGTCATAAGCTCTAAAGTTGACCGTTTTCGAGAAAAATCAACTTTTATGTTTAAAAACATGGTCAATTTTTTGAAAAAAATTTTTTATTACTAATTAAACAAAATTTATTTTAACGTTACAAAAAGTAACAAAACCAAACGATAATTGCAAAATTAAAAAAAATAAAAAATGATTTTTTACACAAATGTTGAAATGTGCGAAATGCGTTACCTTTACGGTTTGGAGAATTTAACAAAGACAACATTTGAATCATTTTTTATTTTGCAATTATGGTTTGGTTTTGTTACTTGTTCTAATGTTAAAATAAATTTTGTTTAATTAGTAAAAAAAAATTATTTTTTTTTAAATTGACCATGTTTTTAAACATAAAAGTTGATTTTTCTCGAAAACGGTCAAGTTTAGAGCTTATGACCAAGAGTACCTTTTTTGTGTAGAAGTTAAGGAGAAAAACACCCGCTACCCCTTCAAAATCTCCACCAATTATGAGGAAAAAAATTTTTTTTCTGGCACAAAACATAGCTTATTTTGAGTAGAAAATGCTTACAAAAGCTGTTTTTTGTACGATAAACGGTTCCGGAGATATTCGAAAAAAACGAATTTTTTTCTAAAATTTCAACACCCTGTATCTCGAAAATTGTGCATTTTAGAGCATAAGTTAATTGCGACTTTTTTCATCTTTTTGGATGAGCTATCACATCCTGAAGTCCTGCGCATATATTATGAAACACCCTGTATACATATTTGAAACACCCTGTATATACATTATGTTATTTTTTTTTTATGTTTTAGCGTGAAATTGTCTATAAAACCTCTCGCTTGGGTGTTGCGAAAACAAACCATTCCAAAGTTATAAGAATTCAAAATTAAAAAAATAAAAATTCCCGTGTTATTGAAATGGAAAAACTACAAATGAATTGAGGCAAACCTTAATATTAATATGCTCAAATATGCGGCAAACTTTTTGTTTTTTAATGTACTATTAATTTTTCAACACCATTAGAAAAAAAAATAATTTTAATTTTTTTGAAACACCCTAATATAATATATACTGCAATGATTTTTGCAAACCTTCAGACACGTTGATTTTGTTTGCGAGACATTGTTTGGCTACATTGGCCTGTTTAACTAAAATTTTTATTCGCACCTATAATCTAGAAGTAAAATATACATAATTGTTTTTTATGTGATTCTTTGGCCAACCTAATATCACTCCAACATCTAAAATTCAATACATAATACTACACATATAAATATAATTATGTAATAATTATTACCTACACATAATTCCAAACCAAATTTTAACTAACACAAGAAACAATCTTCCAAAATGTCGGACACTTCGTGAGTGGGGGATATTTTTAAGAATAGGTCGGTCGCACCAATATTTACTAATCTTAGAATAAATATAATTATATTTATATCCAGTATAGTTTTATATCTTTAAGAACAGAAGAGAGGGTATTTTGCAAAATTTGGTCCAATCGATTGTTAATCTTAAATTAACTTTTAGTCTTGACATTTTTTTCCATAGAAGTTGTATATTTGTACTGAATAAACAAAATGTTTGCCAAAGCCGGTACTGTAGTAAGCCATTGTTTACTGAAAATTAAATTAAGCTGTCACACCTGCATTACCTAACCTGAGGTCATGAGACTAGCAACAACATTCTTTTTAAGTTTAATTGAAGGTAAAATTGCTTCGCCTCGAAAATAAATTGAATTGAACTCAGCATGTTCAAATTACTTCTGCATCGTTAATTGCAATTTTATAAAGTCCTTTCACGAACTTATTTATTTTAAAATTAAACGCAATTGTAAATTTCTTATTTTATTTCGTTTATATAAAACGAAATTCCCATTTTTGCAAAATGGGATTATTTCCGTCTCATATTTCAAAGGTCAGAGCAACCGACCATATTGACCTGGATTTCACAAATGGAAAGTCAAAGCAAAGTTTAAAACACATTTGTTTAACCTTTTAATAACTTTCAATAAAGCAAAAACACAGTGTATGAATATTTGGCTGGTCCTCGAAACAGACAAAAATAAGCGGTTTCGTATATTTCAGGATGTTTACTGAAAGTTTGGAGATTTAGCATTTGGCACTGTTGGACAGGAAGAGTAAATGAATCGGTCATCTGAGAAATAGCAGATGCCGGTGCTCTGATTTTACAGGAAATAGATAAAAGTTTATAATAAATGTGTCAGCACAACAAAAACTGATTGTCGTTTCTACAAATGATAAAAAGAAGATATAAAATCGAAAAAATGCAGGTCAAGTGTTATAATTTATAGTAATAACTTTTCTATTTTATGTATACTTTATACAAGTTTGAAATTTTTGAATTCAGTACGAAAATCTCCATTTAGTTTACTAGTTTTATAATGGTCATTTAAGGTTACCGAAAAACTCTAGGTATATAATTGGGTTATATAAATAATGGTTTCTACAAACATTTTATGCAACCTTTAGTAACCGTTACCAGTAGGTTTATAAAGGAGTTTTATAAAGTTTGCGGTTACCTGTTTTATAAAACTATTGTGTCTTTAATTTTTTTAAATAAAAATTGTGAGTTAATAATTATTTATGTGCTTAATAAACCAAAACTGTTTAGTAATTGAAACAGAAATTAAGCATAGTATAAGCTTTCGGCGCAAAGCTTTTTCATAATTTTAATTAAAAATTGGTTGCATAGAATATATAAGTAATATAATATTATTAAAATAAATATTTTAAAAGTGGATTAAATCAAATGTTTAGTGAAAAAAATTGATTCCATTGCGTTAAAAAGTTTTATAGTGGTTTCCATAATATTCCTGTTATCTCTAGTTATAAAACTTGGGTTCTATAGTGTTACTAGAATAGGTACCGATAACCTTCATAAACTCCCCAAATAAGCTCTTTAAGGGGTATATAAGAGTTATATAAATATTTATGTAACCAAATTAAGAAATTTTGGTTTTATAATTATAATTTGGATGATATAACATTTATGGAAAGGGCACGTGTCAGTTTAGTATTGAATTTAATAATGGATTATTTAAAATTAACGGTGTTTTTCTTTTACAGTTCCCACCAAAGATCTCCAGGTTGTGGCAGGGGACCCTGTATATCTACCGTGTGACATTTCGACGACCGACCCAGGGGATCAAGTTTTGTTAGTGCTTTGGTATCGGGAAGACCTCGGGACACCAATCTACAGGTAAATGGCAACCTGGTTTTATATAATGCATAACAAAAATTTAAGTATTTTAAATAAAATTAATTTTTTTGTTGAAATATATTAAAATTTTGACGAAATATAATTTTATATATTATTATAATTATTTTGTACCTATAGTAGTTTATTTAAACATGTACTAAAGTATTTTGGATAAATTCTTTACAATCATTTTTTAAATTTCAATTTTATCGTGAAAATGTGTATAATCGTCCTAAATAGCGATTTTATTGTGATCATAACGTCGCTTTTACAGTAACTGTTAAACTTTATTAAAAAAAAATCTATAAAATTTGGTACATTTTTTACATTGTTTTTGAGGATTGTTAATGTCTTTTTATTGACACAAAGTAAATATTCGAAGTACCAATTTCAAAACCTAATTATTAATTAATATTTCTGTTCAAACAGAATAAATACTATTAGTAAGCCTAGCTGTTAATTACCATTAATTTGTCTAGTTTAAATGGGTATTTACATTTCTATTGGTATTTGATTTTAATTAATTTTATTGTTTAATATTCGAAATTTCATTTTATTGTCATTATTATAAGTGGGTGAATCTCACGAAATGTCCCCCGATGGTGTTACCCCGTCATATTTAATAAAACTAAATGAGTTTGACCTACACTTTTATTGTGTTTTGATCATTCATAATTAAGTAGATATTACAGCTCAGGTTCCAGATTTTAACCGCAATTAATTATTTTTTACTATGTTTTAAAAGTCCAAAACCTATCCTCCGTGACTGTTACTCTTTCTAGGTTAACCTATATGTTTTCAAATATCTGAGGTAGTAAAAGTATATTAAAAATATCAGTTCACTAAGTAAATTAAACACATCCAAATCAATCGAATCAAATATAAAATATTATTAAAAATTAAAAGAAATAATTTTTATACCCATTTATATAGGTGTTACAAACATTGATTCTATCCTCCGTGAATCTGTTTTTGCTTTAAATTTTATGCAACGGATGGCGCTTTAATCATTTTAAATAAGCAAAACCTATCCTCCGTGAAGTGTAATATTTCAGTAATTAGATTTTTTTATAAATATTTTATGTCCAATTGTATTAAAAATATTAAAGTGTCAAAAGATACAATAACTTATTTCAAATATACAAAGGGATGTTTAAAAAAACCATACGAAATCCTAACCTCCGTGAAGCTATCTTCCGTGAAGCTCTAATATTCAAAATGTATGATTAGTCAAATCATTTAAATATTTGAATTACCCGATATTTCAATGAATTTAAATTAATATTATATATTTAGTTTACTAATTAAAGATTCTAATCGGCTTGTTCTAGATTTAAATTTTTTAAATTGCATCACTTGAAAACACAAAAACAATTTGTTTTAGTGGCTCCAAGCAAAACTTTTCGGTAATAAAACTAACCGCGGTTTTTTCTCGAAATATAACTCCGAGCGGCAATTAATGCTAGCCAAAATCGAGGGACAAGTTAATATCGTCATAAAGTAAATAGATAAAGTTTAAGTCGGCCAAATTGGGTAAAGTCAAAAATGTTAGCTTTCGACTCCATTGTTTTTACGATGGGCTCGTTAAATCTAATCCGGAAAGTTAACAGATAAAAATAAGGGTCCGTAACAAGCTTTAAAATATCATTAGATATAGAAACACAGTAAAAAATTTGTCAATTTTAACCAAATATTAACCAGATTTGTTTCTTAATCTAAATCATAAACTATCTTTACATACATTTTTTAATATTACTTGAGGGGAGAGATTAATCTATTCGTTTAAAGTTATTACAATATTAGCTTAAAATTTAATCAACTATTATTTGAGTAAAATCTATTGGTGGTAGTAAATAAATCGAAAAGGTAAATAAAGAGAAACATTTATTTGGAACAAAAATCTATGACAATTATCAAAATCAGTGCCTTTTAAAATATAATTTTATATTTCAGTCGTATGGCTGGCTTAAGCAAAATGGTTCCTTAAAACGTAAAAGTTTTAGATCAATGCAATGTTTTACTGGCTGTCAACTTGTAAGCAATGAATAATTCATTGCTTACAAGATAATTATTATCTTGAGAATTCATCAGTAATCCCTTTTTCTGTTATAAAAAATGGGTGATCCCATTGGTAGAGAGGCGTCAGGCGGCTGTATGTCGGGGATTTACCACACGTGTACAAATTTTCCTTAATATTAATAAAAATGTAGGTATAGGTTAATATAACAACCATTACGCTTGAAATAAAAAGTGTGTATGTATTTATATTATTAATGTTACAAGTACCTGAGCTACTGCCGTAGATTATTGATATATAATATAGGTCGGGTATGGACATCCTTTTAACATATTGGTATTTATTGAGTATTAAGGCTTAAAGAAAAAGGAAGTAGGTATAATACCGTAATTAAAATCTAACTGAACAAAAATGCCACACTTCCACAACGCGGTATCTTCGGATATGCACTGCCTAGGTAGATAGGTACCAACCAAACATTTTAAAACGCATTTCGGTTATTACCAGTTTTTTCAGTCTATTTTGCCACTATTGGTGTAATTTAACTTTAATTGTGAGACAATGTGCACTAGTAGTGTATAGTGTAAAGAAAAAAGAGCTCTTAGTAACATCAAAACAGACAAAGAAATTGGCTTGCACTCAGTGCAATGCACTGTAGTATACATTTTGTCACTATTTAACACATTAAGGGGTAATAAACACTCGCATTAGGTTTCTCTACCCTTTTGATTTATTTTAATAATAAATAGTGTGAATGTACCAATGAATAATGTTCATATTCTTTAAATGTGTTTAATAAAGTTAATAAGCCCTAAATGCTACCTAGTGTATTATGTAGTGTAACTTTTACACTAACAAATCAACTCTAATATTTTTACCCCTACACTAAAAATGTATGTGTTATACGTTTCATCAATTGACCTATTCAGCTTGGTGTTTGTGAAATTCGCGCGAATCCCAAACAAACAAATAATATGAGGTAAAAACTTGAACTGCCAAAAGACAAACAAAAGTGTCAAGCTGGGACCTAAACAAGAGGACGACCGTGCAGATTGTATTTAGGTTTGTATGCAGAGGCACATAAAACTGCTACATACCGGCTGTTTGTTTAGTCCTGTTACAATGTACTTAAAATTTAGTTGAACCTGTGGTCACTTAAACATTTAAAGACAAGCTAGAAGAAGAAGTTTTAAAAACATTACAACAAATTAAACAACAGGCATAATCTTCTAAGAAAAACTTACCTGACTAATTTAAGATAAGTCACCATATTTTACTGTTTCTAAGAGTAAAAGGTAACTATAGTCCATTCCATTTAAGAATGGAGTAGAAGTCACTGCAATAAGGAGAACGCGGTAAATTTAAATAGAAAAAATATTTCCAAAATGTGTTTTAATTTTAATTAATTAAACAACAGTAAAATGGCTAGTGTCCAATTACTGGTTGGTAAAAAATGTAAATTTCTATTATTGGACATATCTCCAATATCATACTCTATTTGTATCCCGGACATTTACCAGCCAATTCTTAGGTAAAATTGTCCCCTGAATCCGAAAAAATCGTCAAAAACTATAAAAGTTAAGTAAAGTGACAATGTTTAAATCATGACATGACATTTATACCACACACTCATCTGTACACTTTTTGGAAATATTTTTTATTGTAATTTTAACAAAAAATTTTTTCTGTATAGCTTTCTAGCTATCACATATTCCAACTAATTTATATCCTTGAACAAAAGAGATTTAGACTAGAGCTAGCCAATTAATGTAATCAATAATTATTATAATCTTCTTAATTAGTTAATCTTAATGCGAGAGCTGATTGAGTTTGGTTAAGCTCAATTTACAAAGCGCAAATTATTTCGAATATTCCATTACAAATTACCTTATAACACAATTGTGTTAAAGAGTGAAATGCTATTTAATTTTTAGTATTACTTTTTTTGTAAAAATTCAAGTAAAATTGGGTTAAGGCACAATATTTTATCTACATAAGGGTGATTCAACAAAAGTTGGGCAACTTTTGACCTCATTTTGTTTATTTAGTTTTCGGAGAAAATTAAACAGTATTTTGTTATGAGAACATAGATAATATAATAAATATACTGTTCCAGTCACTTTTTCAAACAGTTTCTTAAATATCTGTGTTTTCTAAATTTGAATGCAAGGGAAGCGACGAGTATACTGGGGTACTAATTAAATACATAATTTGTTGGAAAATATAAGATTTATTGCAATTTTAAGCAACTTATACATTAAATATCTTAAAATCAAATAATACTACACATCAGGCGGCTGGTGAATTTTGGGTATACCGATGTCTCAATTATTACATATGGGACCCACACCAAATTTATAAGAGTTTATAATGACATTAAATAAACAAGTTCTGCGCAAGCAGAATTTAAATTGAAGTTTGCGAAAAAAAGATAACCGAAACATGATTACTGATATTTTTTATTGGTGGATGCTATTTATCGAGAAATCATATATAGCCTTATATAAATTACAATAAAATAAATATTTGTAAGAAAATAACTACTCACCACAGTACTAAAATTTTGACTTGAACCATACGTGCATTCACCACAACTTCGCCGCTTGCATTGTTTTCAAGTCGTGCAAAGGGCGGGCTTTGTAGGTAATTTTTTACCAACACTTGAGTTAAAACGAGGACTTGACGTTTAAACTTCAATATTTCGCATTTTGAATTTAAGCATTGGTAAAAGGAAGTACAAAGATTATCAATTTTTAAAAAATTGCTATTATTCGAATCTATGATAGAATATGAAAAATACAATATTTAATGTTTTATAGTTTGTAGTGAAATTGAAAAATTTAAGATAAATTGAATATATTTTAAAATAAAATTGGGTGGAGAAGTTAAAAAAACCTGGATCTTTTGTAATATACTAAATTATTTACAAGAAATATTAAAATACCTACTCTATTGACTGATAACATCAAGTTGTCCAACTTTTGTAGAATCACCCATAAATAGAATTTTTCCGTTTAATTAAAAGAAAAACCACATTTATTTTTTTCTTATAATAAAGCTAGTTTTTGTACACTCTGTAATTTGGAATCCTTTTAAGTAAGGATGCAACAACATTCCTTTTAATACATAAGTTTGTAATTTAATTTTCGTTTTGCTTCTCCGCTTCGCTAATTATGTTATAACGTTGGTTTTTGTTAAAGTAATAATTATGACTAATTAACTAAAAAGAACAACTTCGGTCTCTGGCTGTATACATAATCGCTGTAAAGTTAAAATACGTGTTATGTAAATGTAACGTGTTTATACAGGCATTTCTTCGCTAATGGAAAATAGTTTTTGTTTGGTTTTACGATTGTTTTCATGCAATTGGGGTAGAAGTTCACCTTTATTTTATGAGTCAATTTCAAGTAATTTTTTATATTAGGGTAAATTACATAATTATTGGACACTTAAGGAATATTATTTAAAATTTATATATGCCGTTGTTTTAAGATTTTAGTTTTTTTTTGTTTAAACGTTATTTTCGTTTACCAAAAAATAATAATATTTGAATTTTTAATAATAGTTTTATAAGAACATGCAAAAAAGTATAGTAATTGGACATTTCATACAGTTATTGTAACACATGGATCATAGTTATTGTACATACAATTTTTATATAAACATAACAATCATTTTTAAAGTTAAATTGCGGTTTTAGGTATTTTTTTATTTCGTTTTTGTAAATATCATATAATAATAATATTTCATAGGAATTGACTGCTAAATGTCCTGGATACAAATTGCTGTTGACGAGAATTATTAGTTGCTGCTTTTTGACAAATTTGACTAATTCATTTTTAGAGAGTAAGCAATATAGTGATATCTTCGTCAGTGACAGAACATATTGCAGAATAACAGTTATGGAAATACAGTGCATGATAGAGAACATAAAAACTAATGGCCACAAAATTAATAAATTCGGAAAATACTTTTAACCTACCACCAGAAAAAATATTAGATATATATAAATCATCCTGTTCCGGCCTAAACATCATGAATGCTTCACAAACTAGAGATACCACACTTAATGATATTTGCAACAAACTATTTCAGAAGTCAGACCAAGGAATTAGTAGTTACCTTCAGAATCCAGAAAAGGGATGAGGATCCAAAAAAGAAATATATGAATTATATGATATCTACAGTAACGAAATAAAAAAATAAGTTAAGTTTATATAAAAATTGTATGTCCAATAACTATGGTCCATTTGTCCAATTACTATATAAAATGTCCAATTACTATATAAAATGTCCAATAATTAGAATTGGCGAAACTTCAAAATTGACAACCAATATCTTTATTTTTCAGTGTGGATGGTCGGGACCGCGACTTTAGCCTAGCGGAACGTTGGTCTGACGAAAATGTGTTTGCAAACAGGGCCTACTTCATGCCGGAAAAGCAGCCAGCGGAGTTGGGAGTCGACCACATTCGAGAATCGGACCAGGCAGTCTATCGATGTCGGGTCGACTTTAAAGTCGCTCAAACCAGGAACAGCAAAGTCAATCTAACCGTTATAGGTAAGTTTGATAGTTTGCAAATTGCCCGCGTTATTGCAGCAAAATTTCAGAGTTTGTGAAGAATTTTCATTTTGTTTTTAAGTTTACTTTCTATATCGTAAGAAACTTTTATCAAGTTTTCTTTTTTAAGTACAGGTTTTTAATAGTTATTTATGACAATATAACACTTCTACAAATAGAAGTGCTGAGTCCATGACATTAAGTAAACTTTTAAATACACATTGACAAGTTGTGGCTTTATGGCGCTTTAGTCACGACTGAAGGAAGCAACAGGTTTAAGTCACGCACTGAAAATAATATTAAGATTTCTCTTTTAAACGAAGAAAACGTTTTTAACTCAAAAAAGGAAACAGGAAGTTCCTTGACGCAATACTAGTATATTACCAGTAAATTCCAGAAAATTGATAATGTTCATAGTGCGTTCCACCAACTTAAAATACTTCAAGTATTAACAGCTGTTTACACCTATTTAAGGTCTCTTTAGTATCGAACAACTTGTAGTGTCACACCAAAGCAAAGGACTACATGAGCTTATATACTCTTCATGTAAGTCAACAGAGGCGAGATTTAAGAACATCACGTGATCCACACCGCCTTTGCAGCGATCGGTACACACTATGCAACCAGGAATGCACGGCAAATTGTTATAATCGTTTTAACAGAGTGCTTTAGGTTGAAGTAACTCTTATTTTACAAACAATATATTTAGTAAACTAAACCATACAGCGGGTTGGTTTCACTAAAGTTTTCTGGGTTAATTTAACCAATTAAAAAAAAAAAAAAATAACTATCTGGTTTAGTACCGTCAAACTAATCTTTGTTTATATTAACCTTCCCACAGTTGATTTAAATAAATACTTATGGGTCAACTAAATTAATATAGTTAAATTAACTATTCTTTTTTTTCTGTGTTGGTGCACTTTTCAAATATTTTTAGATAAACACCGTTTTGGTGTTTATATTAACACCACTTTGTGTTGGATTTAGACACCATTTTAAGATTACAATTTACACCACAGATATTTTAAACAGTGTAGAAAGCTTGAGGATAAGTTTTATATAAAGTTGACATTTTTTAACAAAACTTATATTTGACTAAATATTTAAATCTAACCTAAATGGAGCATACAATCTCCCAATTGTTAAACTTTTCGTATTTTTTACAGATTAACTTTAACGAGATACTTTTTCACAATTAAAACCAAAACTTCTTGATAAATAGAAAATAACAACGTAGAAAATCAAAAGGCAAACTTTATTTAATTGGCAAAAGTTGCAGATTTCTAAAAAAACAATGTCTGTTTTGAAGCTTATTAAAATTTTAATTTGCTGCAGAAAACTCCTCTGGATAGGTTTAATTTGTAAATGAATATTTTATTTCTATGAAAACAGGCATTGGAAATTGGCTTAACAGGGGAAATGTAATTAAGAGTTCGTTTGTTTTAGAAAGTGATTTGCAGGGTTTGAATGGACGTATATAATGTTTTGATTGAGGTTTCGAGCTATTGTGATTTTGCTTTTTTACAAAACAAAGAACAATTATACACGTACAGAATTATTAATGTTTTCCATTATTGCCCAAAATGTCAAATTTAGCCCCATAATATTATTTTAGTTGGCTTTTAGAGGGCTATCATTTAAAAAATAAACACATACCTACCTACATAAATGAACACAAAAATAACATACACACCATTCTGAAATCATCAAATTATAAAGAAATTTGGTACAATATCATTATCAATAGGGTAAACCACGTAGTTATTGGACACTTAAGAAATATTATTTATTTAAAATTTATTTAAAAATCGGGAATTTTCGTTTTTTGAAAAAAATATTAATTTATTCGTCTAAATTAATGTTGTCGCCTTCAAAATAGTCCCCATTGAAAATTATGCACATGTGCCAGCTCTTCTTCCAATACTCGGAACACTTCTAAAACTCGATCTTTGGGATAGCCTTTGGTTCTTTCAGCGATGCGCTTTTAATGTCATCTATGCTTGCAAAACGACGGCCCTTTAAGGTTCTCTTTATTTTTGGGAATTGGAAAAAGTCAGACAGAGGCATGTCTGGCGAATATGGAGGCTGGGGCATCATTACAGTATTGTTTTTGGAAAAAATTTTGTTCAAAATTTAACAATTTTGAAACAAATTTTGCTGCCACGCGTTTCATACCCAAAACATTCGAAAAAATTTCATGAGATGAGCCAATCGATATACCAACATCATCAGCGACTTCTCTGATGGTTTATAACCATTTCTTACACTTTTTCCATGTTTTAATCGGTTGTTAATGTGCTTGTGCACGGGGCGTTTGTCATCTTCAACGTCTTCACGGCCATCTTGGAAACTCTTATACCACTTGTTAACTCTTGTTTTACTTATAGCAGACTCACTATAGGCCTTTGTTAACATTTCACAAAATTTATTTAATTTTTTAAGCAAAATTGGATAAAAATTCTTTGATCCATTTTTTTTAACGAACGAAAAATCGCCGAGCTCATAAAACACGTCCAACCTTAGCGGCTGCCACAGACAAAGTAAACAATGAAAACAGCCAAAGTTTTTATCAAACTTCGGGGGCATGTATACCAACATAATAAAGAAAATTTTATGACAACCGGACCCTCTGAACCCGCGAAATTTAACAATTCCCGTTATTTTCTGAACACACCTCGTATCTACTTTTAATATTTGGAATATTTGGATTTTTCAACAATAATGAAACTTGGTTCATTTTATTTATTTAAATAAAAACGGGTAAATATATACAATAATAAGTACAATAAGAACAATAATAACAAATGCAGATGCAGGTTCGCAATAGCGATGAAAAATAAAATGAATAATGCATTTGTTGGAAGTAAATTCTGTAATGCGGCATGGAGCGTCTATCGGGTTGGAAATTTTAATTTAAATTTATTTATTTTTGTCATTTCAATAAATGTTCCTGCCAACGCATGCCACAAACAAATGGGGTAGTTAAATTTTTTCTTACCTATACTTTTTATGGTTTTATTCAAGGCGTTTTGTAATTTTAAACATTTCTGTGAAATCGGAATTTAAATTGAGTTTACCGTTTTCGAGATATTTACAAAACAAAATCTCCTAATTACGTCACTAGGCTATTGACAACGTTGCCAGCTTTTTCTATGGTTGCCAGTGTGTTTAGTTTACGATAGATGGCGCCACGTTATAATATTTTAGTTGAGAAGAAGAATTGATTTTTTGACGTTTCTTTTTTTCGGGTTGTTTTTTTTTTAATTTAGATTATTGAAAATCAATGTTATTGTTATGTTATTTGTAATTGATATTAGATAAGTGATTTATTAATAACGGACTCCAAAGCAGAGAAATCTTGTGGAATGGTTGGTTACATTGAACATTGGAGCTTTTAAACAAAAAAAGTAAGTACCTATAATTATAATCATATTTTGTCGTAAATGCATTTCATTGGTATAATGCCTAGTTCTTTATATTCTTTAAGATATATTATTATTTTTTGTAAATTTATTTCATTCATTTTCAGCTTTATTTTGCCACTTTTTTCTATGAAATAAATTAAACTCTGCTTTAGACAGTTATTAGGTACCTATTTATTAAATTTTATTAGGTTTCACACGGTGTTTCAATGTAAAAACCTATCAATAAAACTTTTAATTTCAGAATTTTCTTTAACCTTCTCTTCTTCTTCTTCTTTCACTCAACTGACAGTGACAGTATTTGTACATAACCTCTTCGGGTATTTTCTGACATAACCGAATGAAATCATTAACAAGACAACTTGACAACAGGGTAATTTTTAACCAATAGAAATCTTAGAATGTTGGTCACATGACGGGGTTTGTGACGTCATAAAAAATTATATTTTTTGTAAATATCTCGAAAACGGTAAACTCAATTGAAATTCTGATTTCACAGAAATGTTTAATATTACAAAACGCCTTGAATAAAACCATAAAAAGTATAGGTCAGAAAAAATTTAACTACCCCATTGTTGTGCTAGCTATAGCGCTAATTAAAAAAAGTACTACTCGTCAGAATAAATATAAATCAATTTTAGTCGTTTAGCATTTGTGCATAGTGCATTCAGAATGGTTAATCGCATTCTAATTAGTAATGATGTTTTTCCAATGTGGTTAGTTTGTTTGTTTTTAGCGTTAATACCAAATTAAATAAATTTCCAGCCCGCAATGCTAATTTTATTTTTACAAAACTAGGTTACTTTTTATAAAATAGTTATTTATGAACTATGCTCCACACCTCAAAGTCCCACCACGTGACCACGTACGGAACGCAGTCTTTTGAAAATTTCGCATTTAAGGCTTTTCAGGTTATGTACATATCTGTCAAAGTATAGTCAATAAAAGAAATAATATTTATAGTGTTACCGCTTATGTTTAAGCGTTAAAAGTTAATAAAGAATTTAGGAATATAAATACTTCATTTAATAAAATTTCATAGTGTAATGTGCAATATAAGTGATATTTTTGTGCACTGGGTCTACATTTTTCCATAAACTTCTCTATTATGAAATAAGAATATCTGTATCAAAGGTAGGTTTATGTATTAGAACAAAAAATATTATCTAATTTTGTATTTTAAGATTAGAAAAATCTATTTCGACCAAAATAAATAAGTGGATTATTTGAAAGAGTGTGTTAATATGGTCATAAATAAATATAGGTATACTAAATAATTGTTGAATATAGTTCAAATTAAATTGAAGCTTTTATACTTCTAACGACAAAACTTGTGCATACCTCTCGGCATACTTACTTTAAGTTAGATTATAAGAAAACAAACAATTTTTAGAGAAACTTGCAATGTAAAAATATTTAATACTCCCATGACATGTGATTTATTAAAATTTTTAAAGTTATAATGATTTTTTGATGTAGATCAAATTCAGTCGAAGCTTTTTAACTATTTGTATTGACAAAAATTTATGTAGGTACACTTTAAGCTGGATAAGAAAAACTACCACATTTTTAAATACCATATTATACAGTCTTTTAAATAATCCAAAATACTTATTTATTTTGGTCAAAATAAAGTT